AACTACTTTTAATAATTTTATAGTATTGTGATACTGCAGTTTTTATTCATATTTTTAATAAGCTTTTATTTATATATTGTCTTTAAAGTTGAATTTTAATATAATTTAATATAACTAATAATTTTAGTTTAATAATTTTAATTAAAGTTTTAGTAATTTTGTTCTGTTTTTCCATTTTTATTATCATTTAGTACATTTTCTTATTATTTTAAATGTCTATATAGTTTTTATTATTTATTTTAATTTTCATTATTTGGCCCTGGCAGCTTGTGTTTTTTAAATAATTTATTTATCTTGAAATTTCGATTTTAAATAATGAAAAAGCCAATAAATAACCAATAAATTTGGAGTGACACAAGGGTGAGAAAACAATGACAAATGCTGATTTTCAGGTGAACTATGACTGTTTTTATATCTGCTTTATATTCGACGCTGTACAAATAAACTTGACTTGACCATTTAGCGCCCAAACTCTGGAATAACCTACCTAACATTGTTCGGGAGGCAGACACACTCTTGCAGTTTAAATCTAGATTAAAGACCCATCTCTTTAACCTGGCTTACACATAACACACTAATACGCTTCTAATGCGCTATATAAATAAAGGTGACTTGACTTGACAGCAGCAACTTGGAGAAACTGCAGCTCATGATTACAGTTAATTAAAAACTAAATATTTACCCACAACACATCTGTCAGATTAAACTCATTCACAAGCTTCACACAGAATTCTTGAGAAATCATAAAGAAAACTATTATTGACATTCAGCACACGATCTGAGGAACCACTGATGTATGGAGCACAAATGTAACACTCAGTTTTAGTGATTCTCAGAATAAACTGCATTCCCAGCAGCCCTTGCGGCCGTGGACCAAAAGCCATTAAAAAGCGCTGATGGAGTCTTTCTGCGTCTCTTCAAATGTTTCTTTGATTATCAGATGAACTGTTTTCGCTCCCGCTGTGAGGATCGAGGACAAACAGCAGCTTGAGCTTTTAATCGTAGTTTGAATTATTGAAGAATTTTTGTATTTAAATTAGAAACCTAAGAAATATTACTATTGCGCTGTAAATTAAAAAGCATTTAATAATAAAATAATAATCATTATTATTATTTAAAATAATATATATTTTTAATTATAACAATTAAACCAATTGCAATAAAACTATTTTACTGTAAAGTAAAAATTGAGAAATTAATAAAAAATAATAATTATTCCGAATTTTTTTTTAATTATAAAAAAATAAATGAATAAAGAAATATTACTACTGCAATAACACTATTGTACTGTAAAGTAAAAAGGAGCATTTAATAATAATTATTATTATTCAGAATAAACATTTTATTTAAATTATAAACATTTTATGAATAAAGAAATATTACTATTGTAATAACATTATTGTAATGTAGAGTAAAAAATGAGCATTTATTATTACTATTATTATTCAGAACAATACTTTTAAATTATAAAAATTAAAGAATTTTTATAATTTAAAAGTAATAATAATGATATTGTAATGTAACATAAAATTAGCATTTATTAATAATTATTATTAAGAATAATATTTTTATTTAAATTATAAAAATTAAATGATTAAATAAATAATACCATTGCAATAATACTACTGTACAGTAAAGTAAAAAATCTGCATCTAATAATAAATAATATTTTACAGAACAACAGTAAAATTACAATAGCCTACTATTTATATTTATATTTATAGCCGTCTTCATTTCTTTGCTTTCCAAAGTAAAAGCTTTTATTTTGGTTGAAAACTGCCGGGAGAGCTTAAAGCTTCTTTCTAAATGATTCTCATAAGAAATTTGATAAGATGCTTGGCACGTCGAAGAATTCATAATTCAGGTTGGAAAATATGGAAATCCGTATAAATATATATATATATATATATAAAAAAATCACATCCCTGCAAAAGCACTAACCTTAGTTTACTAGATGTACTAGTGGAAGGATTCAGGTTGATGTTAATGAATAAGGCACCTCGTGTTACTTCAGTTTCGTGTCAGTAATAATCGTGTTCCTCACAGGTGGACGTCCTGAAGGTGGATCTGGAAAGTGCAGAGAGGAAGATCCTGAGAACCTGATCCTGCTGCTGCTGGAGCTGCACCTGCAGTGGGCGGGGACAAGCCCTCGGTGGTCCGCTATTGGTTCAGTCTGCTCAGGGAGTTGGGAGCCAGCAGCTCCTTTATACTGGGATGGGTGAACACGCAGTTTGTGCCGCAAGGATGATATTCTAAACAATACTCTGAATCATTTATGTCCGATTATCTGGATATGCAACGACAAAGCAATGGTCCATCTGAATAACGGTTCTCAGTATGAACAGCTGGAGTCAATGGGACCTTATGAAAGCTTGACTTCCAGTTCTTCATGCATGTGATCCTCTTATCTACAACTTCTAGATCATTCCAGCAGGAGTTGGACCAGGATCTGTTCCAAAGAACAAAAGATCTTCAGGGATCATAAAAGATTTTTTATTGATGAAGAAAAACCTTGGGTTGATTAGTTCCACATTCACACCACTGCCCGATTTATCGCCTCCTTAAGGCGTCTTTACACAGCCGAGTTAAGGCTGCTCTGTGCCTGCTTAAATTTCAGTGTAAAAATGCAATGCCAGATAAAAGCCAGACTAAATTATGCCTGCTCTGACCCACCTCAGCCCTTAGTATCAAAGTATACAGTCGTGATTGCTGTGTAAATGCATTTATGCCACCTCTGAGCAGGATTAAATAATCGGTGTGAAAGACATCTAAATGCCACCTCAGAAGCGCTTCTGAGCCACCTTTGCAGTGTAAATTTGGTATAAGGTGTCTTTACACAGCCGAGTTAAGGCTGGTCTATGTCTGCTTAAATTTCAGTGTAAAAATGCAATGCCAGATAAAAGCCAGACTAAATTATGCCTGCTCTGACCCACCTCAGCCCTTAGTATCAAAGTATACAGTCATGATTGCTGTGTAAATTCATTTATGCCACCTCTGAGCAGCATTAAACAATCTGTGGAAAGACGCCTAAATGCCACTTCAGAAGCGCTTCTGAGCCATCTTTGCAGTGTAAATTTGGCTTAAGGCGTCTCTACATAGCCGAGTTAAGGCTGCTCTGTGCCTGCTCAAAATTCTGTGTAAGGACATTATGCCGCATAAAAGCCAGACTAAATTATGCCTGCTCAGACCCGCCTCAGCCCCTAGTATCAAATCATAAAGTTGTATTTGTGTCTGTGTAAATGCATTTATTCCACCTCTGAGCAGCATTAAACAATCTGTGTGAAAGACGCCTAAATGCCACTTCAGAAGCACTTCTGAGCCACCTTTGCAGTGTAAATTTGTCACTAGGAAATTAAATTAATAAAGGCATCTTTACACAGCTTAAAGGCTGCTCTGCACCTGCTCAAAATTATGCGTAAAGACAGAATGTTGCATAAAAGCCAGACCAAATTATGCCTGCTCTGACCCACCTCAGCCCTTAGTATCAAAGTACTATTGTACTTGTAATGGCAAAGTAAAAAAATTGTAAAAGTTGTAATTGCAGTGCAAATGCATTTATGCCTCCTCTGAGCAGCTTTATGCAATCTGTGTAAACACGCTTTAATGCCACTCCAGAAGCGCTTCTGTGCCACCTTTGCAGTGTAAATTTAGCACAAGTCAATGAAGATGTGACAATGTGACAAATAAAGATATATTATGTAATATAATACATTAACGTCTACATAAAAAAACATTTCTACATAAATTAACACTGAAAATACTATTTGCAAACTATATTTTTCAGTACAGAATAAAATGTATATTTTTAACATGTTGCTTGATAAAAATAGGTTGAATTCAGATAAATTCAGGCCACTTTATAATTAAATGTAAGAAAACCTGAATTCACTTAACACTGTGTGCAAATACCAGGCGTATAAAATATATTTACGAATGTCACGTACCTTGACTGTTGGAGGAGAATTTTCACTGAGATTGCTGAAGTGCATTATGGGATTGCTTTATCTGTGAAGGGATGACTGAAATGTGTTTAGAGCAATAACATAAATCCTATAATGAAAACCCACTGTTGTGCAGTTATGATAATTGCATCTGTAGAAACACCATGTGTGCTTTCCCATAAAAAATAAAATAAAAATCGTGTTTTTATTACTTCAGTGAAGAAGTAAATTACCCATAATGCCAAAGCCAAACCCTTCCAATCCAAAATCCTAAGTTAAATAAATTAAAAATATAAGTATAAATATTCAGAATAATATTTTATTTAAATTATAAAAATTAAATCAAATTAAAATTATTAAATTAAATGAATATAACTATTGCAATAACATTTAGTAAAAAAATGAATATTTAATAATAATACATACTCAGAATAATATTTAAAATATAGAAATTAAATCAATAAATATTACTACTGCAATAATTCTATTGTACTGTAAATAAAAAATGAATTTAATAAAATCTTAATTATTATTACTATTAGAATTATTATTATTTAGAATAATGCATTTAGATTCAATGCATTTTGAATCCCCACTGCATTCAAGCAGGCTCGGATAACCCCACTGCTCAAAAAACCTACATTAAACACTTCACTTACAGATAGCTACAGACCTGTCTCTCTCCTTCCATTCATACTTAGAATAATTCTTAGATATAGTTGAGATATAAAGTTATTAGAATAATATTTAAATTATTAAAATTAAATAAAATATTACAATTGCCATACTATTGTAATGTATTAAAAAAATTAGAACACCAGAAGAACTCATATATATATATAGAGAGAGTGCATATATTGAGTTAAAATGCAGTATTTTACACACTAATCAATGTCTTACAGTCAATTTGAGGAGTTCAATCCGTCATTAGAGATGTTAAAGTACTTTCTTTATGCCTCTAATCACGTTATGTTGTAATTGATTCTCTTTACTGAAGAAACAAACGTCTATGCTGAAAATGAATGGGAAAATTCCACCAAAACACAAAGACAGCAGAAATAAACGAGAGACATTTATTATCCTCAAAAAGAGACAAATGTGAGACACTGGAGATACAGATTCATTCATTACAAAACAAAAAGCATGAGCTGCAAGTCTGTGTGTGTGTGTGTGTGTGTCTGTGTGTTTAGGACTGGATACCAGCCCATTAATAATCTCACATCAGTTAAAAGCTGAGACTCAGGCTCGAGAGGAAAACACGAGGAAGCGGATGCGTCAGTCCCAGAGCTTGATCTGTCCGTCCCAGCCGCAGGTGATCACCTTCGACGTCTCGTGAGGATGCCAGAGCGCGCTGATGCACACCTTATCATGCGCTTTGATCCGATGATAGAGTTTCGTCGTCTTCCAGTCCCAGATATTCAGCTTCCCGTCAGCATCGCCGGAGACCACGTAACTGCAGTAAAACCATACACTTAATGCAGTGATTCTGAACATGTACTGGGACAAAAAATACAGATGAAAATTATATTATATATAACCTATGAATAAATTAATATATATAGATAAATTATCAAATATTATATAACCTATGAATAATTTAATATATATAAATAAATAAAAAAAATTTTTTTTTTCAGGCTTTTAAGGATTCAAAATATACCTCTGCATTTATGCATTGCTCTGAAATGGTTCAAAAAGGTTTTTTATTTTCAATCAGAGAAATCATTATTTCAATTAAAAGTCTTTATAACGAAATAAATCCAAAATGTTTAAATGTAAGAAGTAAAACACAGTAAAAATATAGTTAAAATCAAGGCATATTTTCAAAGTAAAGATACTGAAAATTTATATGCACCAATATAAAAATACATATTTATGTATAATATAATATATATATGCCAATATAAACAATATTTTCAATATTTTAAACCATAAAAGTGTGATGATTTAACGTTTGAAAATGAAGACCATCATAAATTAGTACTGTAACTTACAACTGTGCTGTAAAATTATTCAATTCTTCTAAAATACTAAATTTTTTATTTTACAGTAAAATTACAAAACTAATATTTCTTATTTTGTTTTAAATAAATAATAGTAATATAATAGCAACAACATCAATAATAATAATAATAATAATAATTATTATTATTATATTTTCATATTTATCAAAATAAAACCAAAATGACAAGATGGCTTAATGCGATTATCAAATTATTTAAAGAATTATTAAATAAATATATGCGCTCCACAAAAAAAAAAAATAAATCCAATAAAGAAAAAAAACAACTTGGTTTAATGTAAAAAAAAAAAAAAAAAAAAAAAAAAAAAAAAAAAATTATTAATGATCAAATTTTCCGCCAAGCATTTTCCAAATAAAAGCTTGATTGTTTAACATCTGAAAACGAAGAAATTGACCTAAACATTAGTATTGTAATTTTACAGTTGTACTGTAAAACAAAAGTATTTTTATTTGTATTACTATATAATATTTCTTAAATACTATTTTTACAGTGAATTATTACAATAGTAATATTTTTTTGTTTGAAACAATATTAATATTTTATTTAGTAGTAATAATAATAATCATTAGGGCCCGAGAACCGGTGGTGCGAGGACCCTCTTGTATCTGCTCCGTTTATTATTATTTTTATTCTTCTTCTCTAAGATCAATCGCATTTTTGAGGGCCTAAACATGCTCAAAAAGTCATGAAACTTTGCACACGCCTCAGAAGTGGCAAAAATTTACATCTGATATGGGTTTCAGAAGTGGGTGTGGCAAAATGGCTCGACAGCGCCACCTATACACTTTACACGGAGTGCGCCTCGAGCTACGTTTCACGTACATGTACGAAAATCGGTACACACATGTAACACACCAATACCTACAAAAAAGTCTCCTGGTACGAAATCCGAATCCCAACAGGAAGTCGGTTATTTTGAATTTTCTCTGCCAAATTTGTGTCGTTTTTGCCATTTTCAGGGGTTGTACTTTAACGAACTCCTCATAGAGATTTATTCAGATCAACACCAAAGTTGGTCAGTGTAATCTAAAGGCCGTTGTGATGTTAAATTGCGAAGATCTAGAGTTTTCGTTGAAGGCGTGTCCGTGGCGGCCTAACAATTTTCGATGTTTCGCCATGAAAAAGGAAGTTGCTATAACTCAGACATACAATGTCCAATCTGCCCCAAACTTCATATGTTTGATAAGAGTCCTAACCTGAACGGATCGACATGCCCATATTCAGTTATAGTCATAGCGCCACCTGCTGACAACAGGAAGTGACATGTTTTACGCTGTAACGAACTACTCCTAGAAATATAATGACATTAAAAAAATTTTTTGCTCAGTCTAATCTAAAGGCTTTTGCGATGTTAAATTGTGAAGATCTTGAGTTTTCGTTAAAGGATGTGTCCATGGCACCCTGACAAATTTCGATGTCTCGCCATGGGAATAAAAGGTTTTGTAACTCAGGCATAAAACGTCCGATCTTCCCCAAACTTCACATGTGTGATAAGAGTCCTGGCCTGAACACATCTGAAGGCCAATATTCCATCGGGTGTGGCAAAATACATTTCACCTACATGTACGTAAATCGGTACACACATGTAACACACCAATACCTACAAAAAAGTATATTGGAGCAAAATCCGAAAGCCAACAGTAAGTCGGTCATTTTTAATTTTCTCAGCAAATTTTGTGTCATTTTTGCCATTTTTAGACGTTGTATTTTAACGAACTCCTCCTAGAGATTAATTCAGATGAACACCAAAGTTGTTCAGTATAATCTAAAGGCCTTTGTGATGGTAAATTGCGAAGATCTAGAGTTTTCGTTAAAGGGCGTGTCCGTGGCGGTCTGACAAATTTTGATGTTTCGCCATGAAAAAGGAAGTTGCTATAACTCAGACATACAATGTCCAATCTGCCCCAAACTTCGCATGTTTGATAAGAGTCCTGGTCTGAACACATCTGGCATCCAATATTCCATTATAATCATAGCGCCACCTGCTGGCAACAGGAAATGGCTTGTTTTACACTAACTTAAACATGCAATGTCCGATCTGCACCAAATTTCACATATTTGGAAAGAATCATGGCCTGAAGACATCTAAAGGCCAATATTCAGTTATAATCATAGCGCCACCTGTTGGCAATAGGACACGTCATGCTTTATACTAACTCAAACATACCATGTTCAATCTGCACCAAATTTCACGTTTGATAAATGTGCTGGACTGAAGAAATCTACATGCCAAAATCCAGTTATAGTCATAGCGCCACCAGCTGGCAGCAGGAAGATTGGCACATATAAATATATTTGACATATTCCTCCTATATTTACCACTTTAAATGCATATTGTTCGCCGTTCGCTGTTTTACTAAAGCCACCCCCTGGCGGTGAGCCCGGGTGCGAGGGCCCGTTCATCGCTGCTTGCAGCTTTAATTATTATTTTATTTTCATTTTGATATATAAATTACTTTTTTTTTGTTGTTACAAACAAGCACAGCAAACCTGGAGCATTTATTACAAATAAATAATCTGCATTTTAAAAGCAATTTTGAGAAAAAATTATATTAATTTCAAAATATTTAACACTTTGTGAAACTGAGCCGTATCAAACCTGTCCTGTAGAGCACACTGGACCTGAGTGAGACCACCTCATCTGTCATATTTCAGATGTAAACAGGGATTAAAGTTCCGTCGCTACGACAGATTTCCGTCAGTTCATAAAGAGAGTCACTTGCTTCATTCCTGAATGATTCAGTCGTTCGAACGAATCAATTGAATGAATGATTCAGTCGTTCGAACGAATCAATTGAATGAATGATTCAGTGATAAAATCAGTGACTTGCCGCAACCTGCTGGCGATTTAGACTTGCTGCCACCTGCTGGCGATTTAGTTTAATTTTTACCGTATAATTTCAGTTATTTAAATCATAATTGTATATTTAAAACATTAATCTCCACATGAATTTAATTGCCCTTATGCTACCTCTGAGCCTCATTAAACGTCTGAAAATGTACCTACAAGCCACTTTTGTGTTCTTCTGTGCCACCTCTGTAGTACAAATTAATTTATTAATACTAATTTCATATGATTGGTAACTTTTTTGTCTTTTAATTATATATGCAAATGTTTTAAATATACAATTTTGAATACAGAAATATGATTCAAATAACAAATTATACGGTAAAAATTAAACTAAATCGCCAGCAGGTGGCAGCAAGTCACTTATTTGATCACTGAATCATTCATTCAATTGATTCGTTCGAACGACTGAATCATTCAGGAATGAAGCAAGTGACTCTCTTTATGAACTGAAATCCGTCAGCTTTGCTTGATTCAGGAGCGCTGCGTCAGCTCGAAGATCTAATCACACTAATTACTGCCTCGTCTGAGGAGATTCACCTCATGTCCGGAGAGAAGTCCACCTGACAGGCGTATCCCGCCACCATGTGACCCTTGAAGATCTTCTTCTTGTTGAGCCGGAATCTGTTCTGCGCTCCGAAGATCAGGATCTGATTGTCCATGGACTGACAGGCCAGCCACTTTCCTGAAATTAACCAAATAAATTAAATTATTACTGCGCAGCTCAGGATGCCAAGATCTCCAGCTCACATTCACTTATCATTCAAGCTAAGAGCTGTATATCTTAAAAATAAACTAGTAATAATAATAATAATAAACTAGGCTGTCTTCAGGAAGCACTGAATAATTACACTGGTTTAGTGCACGGAGGACTAGAAGTGACACTTAAAAATAAAATTACGGACATTTAATTTCAACTATAAAAATGGAAATAAATCACTTTTTAAATGGACAAATTAAGACGTATATAAAACAGTTTATAAAATGCAAGTTTTAAAATGTAATTAAATAAATCCATAACTATAGTAAATTATTAAATAGTAAATAAATTAATAAATATTTTAAATTGCATTTAAAGACCCAAATGCTTTTATTATTAAGAAATAAGAAATTAGACTTAAGAAATATCATTGGACTCTTCAGGACAACAATTATTGTTATATTTTAAGTTGTACAATAAAAACAATAAAATACCATCAATTAAATAATAATTAAAAACATAAAACAGGAAATAAATCACTTTTTTTAAAAGGACAAAATATACATGTTTAAAACTATTTATTTAAATAATTAAACAAAATAAAAAAAAATCTTTAAAATGAAAAATAAATAAACATAAAACTGTTTATTTAATTTGTACTTTAAAACGTAATAACTATAATAAATAAAACTATAAATGACTATAAATAAATAATTATAGTAAACTAATAAATATTAAAATAAATGAATAAATAAATATTTTAAATTGCATGTAAAATAACCAAAGAATTATTAATCGATTAAAAAAAAAAAAAAAAGGCATTAAACTCTTCTGGACAACAAAAATTGACTTAATTTTACTTTGTGTAAAATCCATCAATTAAATAATAATTCAAACATAAAAGGCAAATAAAATCACTTTTTAAAATGGACAAATAATAGATATTTAAAGCTACTTAATGCATGTTTTAAAATGTAGTTAAAATTAATAAATGATATTGAATATTCAATTTATGTTTTAAAACCTAATAAAACTATAACTATAGTAAATGAATAAGTATTAAAATAAACATTTTAAATTACACTTAAAAAGCCAAATGCTCTTCTTCATCCATATTTTCAGCTTACATTATGAACTCTTGGGGACAAAAATAACTTTCGACTCGATTTTAAGCTGCTAACGAACAATAAAGTACCATCAATTAAATATTTAGAGTTATTGAACAGTCTTGAAATATTGTTTTGTCGAAGCTGCTGCTTTAATGATTGTAAACACCGGCTCTTTAAAGAAACTGTGCTACAAAATAAAGCTAAAAAATTCTAGATAAGTAAGAGTTAACCTCTCTAATCAACTAGTTAGTTCCTGGGGAATTATTTGAGCATCTTCGGGGGACCTGTGACTGAGGTCTGGGTTCACACGAGTTCATCTGCACCTCAGAAGAGAAACACTGACACGCAGGAGAACGAGGGATGCTGCTCAGTTATTGATCACAGAGAAGAAGCCATGTGAGCGATAGAGAGTCACATGACATGTACAGCAAGCTCACCGTTGGGCGACAGCGTGACCGCAGGCATCGAGTGCATACTGGGCTCAGCGATGTACTTGAAGTCCACAGGAATATCCCTGACAAGATGCATATAAATCACATTTTAAAACATGAAAAGCTGCACTGCAGTCAGCACATTTCGGCGTGTTATGAACATGTATTCAGACACACAGATGGAGGTTTAACTATGAAAGTATTAATGAGCATGAAAGTATTCATAGTACTGCTTTTTGGAAAAAAATATGCCAGTTGGCATGGAAAATGTATTTTATTTTATTTCATTAATATATTATTTATTTCAATTAATATA